CTGCAAGTGTCTACATCTAAGCCGACTGCACTCTCACCCAAGCTCATGAACACCTGGTGGCATGATAGCAAAAGGCTCCCATATGCGAACAACACGGGATACATTGGCACCTCCGAATCGAGGAGGTTCCAGCCCAAGTCCAGCCTTATCAAGCACGCGCTTGTCTTGATACTAGCCACCTGATACCAACTGCAGAGCCCGATGCAACTTACTGCCGACTGCACAAACCAGCATCTAGGGTTTGGTGGGGTGAGGTCGTCATACTTTGGCAGTTGATATGTTGCATCTGTTGCTGCTACCTTCAGATAAGTCAGTGCATCAGTGCACGCATGGGCCTGCAGTGCTTTAATGAGTCACAGTGCAGTGCCGAGAAGCTCTTGAAGAGTTTGACTTGCCAGCAGGCTCTTGAAGCAGCTGGATGAGACGGAGGTGCCTGTGCATCAAACCATACAAGGTTCGGGCGAATTCCACATCGGATGCATGACAGCCTGTTGCAGGGGAGACTATGCAAACCAAAAAGTAGTTACTCAGTTGTTAACATGTCCTGTGACAATCTGTTTTGGACATTCATCTTTCTGTTGCTTTGACCAAAAGGCATCCAGATAAGCTTACTAGTATGCTGCAAATGCTGGAGCTTCTGGAACCACCCTGGCACCACTTTGCAAGATGTGCAATGTCTTCACTTGCTCTGCGCGACAGCCAGAAGGCTTCCCAATGAACAAACTGCAAATGGCTGCTTCAACAACTCAATGAATGATCGCAGAAGACGCTGCTGACAGAGACACGGGCGCAAGATGCTCTATTTTTGGCTAGTCACCTAGTAGCAACAGCTTCCCAGCCTGTTGAGCCCAGCCCCACATCAGCAAGAAGCAGCTTTTGGAGCATCGGATGTCTCAGTTTTTGTGGGCCATGGACCAACTCGACAGTCAACCTGGAAAACGGCAAACCAAGGTCGCCGCTGTCCAGCCAACTCGCAGAACTTGCCAAGCGCCTGTCCCAACAACTGTTTGACATGATGCTCCCCAAATATTTCAAACATCCCTGCGCTGCCTTCATTCCAAACTTGAGGCCAGTGAGGTCCTCGAATGTGTTGATGCAACATTTACTGGACAGCATATCGGTATACCGTGCCGACAGAGCACCAGATGTCTCAATTCTGCGAAGGCTGGCTTCTGGCCCTCGAGCAGCCTGAGCCTGCAGCATCAGGCTCAAGCCAAACGAATTCACAGTCTTGTACATAACAGCGGCTAAGCCTCACACATGGTGTTGATAGTGAGGAACGAAGTTCCTGTGCAGCCCTTCCTTGGCATACAACAACTTCAAGAGCTTTTCGAGCTCAGCGTGCCCTAGAGAGCACAGGCGAGTCGAGGCTGCATCAAGCTCAGGAAGGTCAGAGTATGACCGGGTCCTTCACCCAAGGAAGCCTGCATCATGAAAAAGAGGAGGTACTCAGCCGCCCGACACCGTGCAATTCGATAGCACCAAATTTGAGAGCGAGGCAAGAAACTTCTCGACGGCCTCGTCGGAGAGCTGGACATTCCCCTTGTGATGTGACGTGATGAGGAGGAGCTCCGCAGGACGGCATAGAGTAGGTTCACCAAAGAAGGAATTCTCACATACACAAATCACAGCCAGCTGTCCTATCCAACACCGCTAGTGCTATCAACTGCGGACTATCAGACTATGACTGTCTCAAACAGGTACTGTAGTCCTTGCCCATTGATTTGACAAATGCCATGGCTGCTTGGTTACCCACAGCTGGGGACCACTTCACGAATTTTAGTATGGTTCCCATGGATGCTGGATAATGGTGGGGTGCCTCCAGGTCCACTGCTTCGACCCTGGAAAGAGCTGTTACCGGCACGCGGCAGGCATCCAGCTCGCTGTCTGTCAAACCCTGGCTCAGCATTCCAAGATTGTCACAGCAGTTCATCGCAGTACATTCTGCAATTGAGTGCCTGATGACGAGCTTCCAGCTTGGAAGAATGGCCGGTCAGGATCGGAGCTGGCCTGCCACGCGTAAAGCATTGAAAAGCTAGCCGTGGACACAACCGGAAGGGCTGCAAGTCCTTGGGAGCAGCTTCTGGTTCTCACAGACCTGGCCAGCCGCCGTGATGCCCAGCACTGTGCTGAAATGTGCTGAACGACAGATCCCTTAAAAGCCTGGAGGTACATCATAGATGTGGAATCCTGCATTGCACGTAGTTCGACAGACCACACAGCGGCCTCTCCCGCAGGACCATATCATTGATTTTGATCACACACTGGAGGGCTTTAACCCCTAGCCATCCATTTTCATGGTAGGGTCCAGATTGTAAACAGGGTATCTGTGAAGCATTTTTGTTTTTGGGACAACAGCACGGAATCAAGGGGTCTGGGTTCGGGACACAGCGCTCATGATCCACAGGTTCTGGAACACATGTGGAACGGAAACGCTTGCTGCCATGTTCCAAACCAAGCAATAGCATAAATCCTGAGAGAAGCCCGGTCCTTCAAGGCGCGAAGGGCAGATGCGGAAGCTGGCCTGAAAACAAAATCGCAACCTATCCCAACTCATGAAGTGTTCCTCAATGCCTCTTGAGCAATGGAGATGCTGCTGGTAGGTTGGTTCCTCTCCTTCATCGAGCTTCACATTCAACTGCAGCGTTATGCCCCAGCCCTTGAGATTTTGTGATCTAACGATTCTCACGTGAAGCTTGGTTGCGTACACTGAGCTCCTTGGGCTGGTCTTCACAGAGCGCGCCTGCTTGGCCGTCCATGCGATGTTCTGAAAGTGCCCGAATGCAAAACAACAACATTGCAGCATGCACACCTTTGACTTTGCGAGGGGAAAACCTGTGCTGCCACGACAAGTGTATGCGTGAGACGGCGTGCACTCTGAGGTCCTGGCCTGCTTGGCACTTGGCAGCCGGTCCTGAATGTGCAGTTCAAGTCGATTTCACACTCTTTCACACAAATGGTACTATGAATACATTCTCAGCAAGCAATGCAAGCCCTGACCTCCGTTCTGACCGGCGTCCAGCTTTTCCAGAGGAGCTTCTTCTTTGGCCATCCTGACGGCTGCACATGAAACACATTGAATCATATTTCTCGAAGGGGAACAGCATAAACACCTCTTCTCGTGGTAACAATTGAGAACACAATCTTCAACGTCTTCAGCAACACAGCTCCTCTTTCCATGGTGAAGACATGTGAAGAGAGGTTTGGGGCTACAGCCTGATGCAATGCTTCATATTTTCCACCAAAGATTGGAATTGGAGGGCTCACGAAAACAGGTAGTGAGCACAAGCCCCAAGTCAAAAGTTGGCAGTTTGTCCGACCGTTCAGTAAGTCACTGTTCAGGTGAAGTCTGTGTCTGCTGTGACAATTTGGTAAATTCGCTAAAGTTGGCAGTGCTGCTGGCTCCCTCTGCGCCTTGCTTCATAGCCAAGGCTTCCAAGGCCAAGGTCTCCCCAGCCTTGGTTTTTGAATGCAAAGAGCCCCCAGCGAATCACAGATTTCGGCAGGGCGGCTCTGAAGATTTCCATCCTTCAGCAGGTGAGAAGGTTTCACGGCCTCGGCCATCTGCCGTGCCATGAAACCACATCACTCCGCTTGCCTCCTCTCAGCTCCGTGCCTCCTTAGCCCCTCCAGAGCGCTTTCTGCCCGCTGGGCGGCTATGCGCAACCAGCGTCAGCTCCTGCGGCTCGTCCAGTCGCACAAATCTCACAAAATACACAGCAAAAAGATTCACACATGGCCTCCTGCGGTCCGGTCTTGGATACCCTTCGCGGCAGCGCTTTAGCCAGCGGCCTCAAGTCTTTGCGAAGTGACCGCAAGTGCAAAACTAAACTGGAACATCTGCAAAGCCTGCGGATCATCACATGCCGCAACTTCTTGCGTGAGAAGTCTTTTGCAGGGCTGGCGTCCGGCATGTCCTGCACGCGCAACAGGTTGCTGAAAAGAAGGCTGCGGCCTCACATCCACACCTGCAACTGCCAGTGCAGAGACTCAGATTTCGCCATCAGAGTCCCCTGATGGCTCTCCAGCGGTGGCTCTGCCTGAGCAGCAGGTCAGGTGTAGAGTTGCGACTTCGGACGTCTAGTGGTCGAGCAATGCACAAGAGGCTGATCAAATCGAAGACCTTGAGGAGATTACTACGGTGACGTTGCAAGACTTCTGCCATCTGCTATCAGCTTCAAGACCTGCTATTCAGCTGTCCATTGAGTTTCCATTTAGGGGGCTTGAAGCTGCAGCTGCTTGCTGAATTTGTTTTCTAGCCTTCTAGCCTTGTCGGTCTTCCTCTGCTCATTTTCATCATGCTAGCTGCTTCCCCTTCTCAAGATCTCAGACGCTGTCTGCATGGATGAGCGAGTTCTGAACGTTGGAAGCAACTGCTGCTTGCGAAGAAGATGCCAACCAAATTGGTGCGCTTTGAAAGCTTTGCTATAATGCAGACCATAGCACAGACAGCTTTGCTGCAAACACAGTGAGATGAGCCTTTCGGTCATGCGTGCGCTTATACGAATCTGCCAGTGACGTAGATTCTGTCTTTCGCGCCCTCACCTCTTAAAGCTGTGCCAATGAGGCTTGCAGCTGAGATTGGAAGGTATTGCTCCATGCTTGATTGGTCCAAAGTCTACATCCGACATTCGACAACGTCTGCCAGTTGGCTATGGAGGACCCTCTATAAGCTCTGGAGGCTTAGGGCTTAGGCTTGTTGCTTTCAAGGCATGCTTTTGCTGGCGCCGTACTTTTGGAGCAGATTTAAAATGGTTGAAATGATTTGGGTACTTTGCAATTTCTGGTCAGCGTTCTCTGCCTCCGGATTTCCAGCGATTCTCTAAGGCTGCAAGCAAGGCACTGCGGAAGCAGAAGCTCGTGGCTGTCGGCTTCCTCTGCTCCTGCATTTTGCTCTCATTCATGCAGCCAGAATCCGACTGAGGTCCGCAGGCAGACTTCAGAGAAAACGTTTCTCTTTTCGCAAGGGAAGCGCTCTGCTAGTTCCTGCAGACTCAAAGCTATGGGCTTGTGACGTCCGCAGGGCGGCACGTTGGGAAGTGGAAGGACCGACGCTGACCAATCTCTGCTGCGCTCCATCCAAAGTTGGAGTGGGAGAGCAAAAGAGCCTCAGATTCAAATGCCAAAATCCACCACACAGCCCATGATTGGTAGATTGCGTCCACGTCAGGAGATGATCTGTCGATATGCGTAGGTCTGTCCTCAACGTACAAAATCTTGCCAACGGAGTGTAGGCTGGCAACAGCTGGATGCTCGCGTAACTTCAAGGTATCCGCAGCCAGCAACCAAACTGTATCTCCAGGTAGCCTCATGTGAGCTTCAACCGTTGCGGCGCACGTCAATGCCAAGTCAATTTCCTGCAGGGAATGTCGCGCAGGATCTGACCACGTGGTCTCATTCCCCGCGCGGAAATGGATTCCGATTAGCCTTCGACCCTGCAACTTGCGCATAAAATCCTGCACGATCACTCCAGGCAATGGTGCGAGCGCAAATAAATGAAGAAACAACCCTGAAAGAAGCCCGGCCCGAGCAAATGTCTTGGAACTATCATGCTGTAGGAGAATATTGAAGAGTCGCACGTTGGAAACAACACACAGCGTTGAAGAGTCATCCGCGAGGAACTGCAATACGTCTGACTCAAACGTTTCCGGATCTTCAGCTGACGTCCATCGATACGTGACCTGAGGGTGTTAGGGTCAAGGACGGGCTCAGCTACGTCGACATTGACCAATGCATACCTGGAATTGCATGCATGCAAAAGTTTATATGAAGATTATTCTAACTTCCTTCATCCCGAATGACCGTCGTCACATGAAAACATACTTTCGCGAAACTTTCGCAGGTCCATCGCGGTGCATGCAGGTTCAACACAAGAGCAGTGGGCACAGCAGTAGTTTCGGTTGCAGTTCTTCATAGCAGTCACAGTGACAATGATTCTAATGCACAAGTACTAGATGTAATGAAAGAAGTAGCGACTGGCAGTGGTATTCGTACGAGTAAGAGTAGTAGAAGTAATAGAAATAACAATGATAACTGAGATGGCAAGGGTCACAGCAACAATGCCAACAATACCATGGCATTGACAACAACAATGGAAAAAAGATTTTGGGGTTAGCAAGAGTACTATCACAAGCAAAAGCAACAGCAACATCGCAAGTTATCCTGAAAGTAGTAGTAATAGCAATAATCTGAACAATGATAATCATAGGAGTAGGAGCGATAGCAATACTAGTACACGCGCATCTAACAAGAGCCCTTGCCTAGAAAGGCAGATTCAACTTGCTCGCAACTTATGCGAAACTGTCGCGAAAAAAAGAATTGCTAATCTGGATTTACACGTTCTCCCTGGCATGCTGAGTACAGCGTCTTGCCCGGAAGCTACTACCTTACGCAATCCTAGCAGCCTAGCAGGAACCTGAGAGTCTGGAATATGCGGGCAAGCTTAGTACAAGAGTTGGGTTACGTAACAACTTTCGTGAGAACAAAACTTTCGCGACGCCATCGCGAATCTCGCGCGAAGATGTATCTTGTTATGCTGGCGATCCATCCATATAAACTTTTCCACAATGTTAGATGAAACCCCATACATCCATCCTTTTTGAAGCGCTCTAAAGCAACATGCAACCATCAATACTACGAGTGTATCAGGTGTGTGCGAGTGGTCAAGCTGAGCGACTACAAAAACTGGTAACTGGGCTCCACACGCAAGATGTCGTTGCAGCAGGCCAAGGATGTCTGGGAGACAGCACACTTGTCAATGGCAGAGGTGCCCGCATATCGATGTAAAACGTGCGGTTAGACATCTTTGCAGCCAAAAATGCTGACAGCAGGCCGAACAAGCGGTCCCCGTGTCCGCCGCAAAACGTCGTGTGCAAGCACACAAACACCAAACTCCTGTTGCCAGCAGGCGGAGCAGGCAGGTCAGGGGACTGTAGAACATTCGCGTCGAAGGCGGGCAGGACAGCAGCAGGCGAGAACACATCTGCGATCGGCTGGCGAGGATCTTCCAGCAGCTGCTGCACTTGTTGCAGCTGCAACGAGGATGGCACCGTATGCGTGAACAGCCGGACTGAAGCTGCTGGCAACATCACTGATGTTGCCTCAGAAGCATAGGGGAACTTGCGCCAAATACTTGCGCAATCAGCCTTTGCCACAGTGATGATGTCCACTTTGGGAAATGAAACCTGGCCGCAGCCACTGATGAGGAGAGCTGCACGGCGCGCCTCCACTGCGCGCGGCACAGGGACCTCGCGCACATGCGGTGCAATGGACCTCGTGTCCCTGGCTGCACTGGAATGGTCTTTTGCGGTCTGCAAAATGAAGGCAAGGGCTTGAAACTCACCAGCTGCTGAAGTGAACGACACTGCCATGGACTCAGCCCACTGGCGTACTGCGGAGATACCGCCCGGGCCCGGGCGCACTGCCACATCCACTCCAAAAGCTGCACCAAGCCAATTTCCTTGCCAAAAGCTGGGCATGCACGGCTCAGAGCGTATCTGCATCATTCCCAATCGCACATGGCCTAGACGGGTCATGACAGCTTCAAGATCACGCCTGAAAACCCGAGCTATCTGTGCAGACCTCTGAGGCTCTGATGCCCAACAGAGCTGGCAGGATATGTCCTGAAGACCAAATCTCAGGACCTCGAGCCCACCAATTGCCAGTACACGCGCCTCGTTGAATGCAACCTTCAGATATTGTAGAGCTTCCCGTGTTGCTGCGCACAAGATTGATTCAGATGCATGGTGGAGCAAGTCCATCTGATCTGCAGCATCATTCAAGGCCCGTTTGCGATATGCAAGTACTTTTTCCACATGCTCCCTCAGATCAACCAGTTCATCTCCGCAACAGAAATGGCTTTGGTTCACGTGCGGCAAGCATCCGAAGTGCCAATCGCCTGCCAAGTATTGCGAACGGGCTTGCGAGCACCAAGGCAGCCATGGGCTGAAACCAAGCTCCTCCAAAAGCATCCTACGATCATCCTGCTGGTCCTACCCCCATCTGCCCCATTCTGCACCTGAGCCTTGGCAAATTTGGCTGAGACAATCTCAAACACTTTCTCACTTTCAGCGTCCTGGCTGCTCGGGTCTTCCAGTCTGAGGCGGCCTGTTCCAGGAGCAGTTCGACTGCTCGGAAAGTAGTTCCCCATCTCAGCCGCGGTCCGACTGCAGCCTTTCCGCGCTTTTGGGCCGCCTTGAGGGCACAGTGTTGTGTAGATCATCAGAAAGTCTGTCCCAAGGCTGCCACGTGCCGCTGATGCAGATTCCTGGCTTGCAAGTGGCCGCAATGCAGCAAGGCCACCGCTGACTGAACCTTCTGCCCGTCCATCCACTTGCTCCGCCTTGAACTCTGCCTGACAAGACGCGGATGCGCAACATGCAAGCCAATCGTGGGCTCTCAAGACCGGTGCTTTTCGTGACCCATCTCTCGAGCGTTTATTTGCGTTTATTTCCAGGTACATGTCCAAGATTGAAAAGCAAAGAAAGTCCTGACAGAATTCATCACAATTTGCAGTGCCTATTTCTATCTTGGGGGATCTTGGGGGGGTCCCACGGAGGGTATCAAGGGATCTCAAGGGCTGCACCTGCTCGCATGTCCGTTCATAGGCAAAGCTTTGGAAGTTGCTGCAAGTTGGTGTAAGCTTCGCAGGCTGCAAAAACCTCTGCCCTCAACTCTAGCTCGACGGCTCGATCTATCCAAAGGGGCTGTGTACTGCTGAAACGACCATCCTTCTTGAAAACCTTCCGGCTTGCCAGTCTGATTTTGGAATCCTCCTTATGCTTCTTCCTGCCTCCAGCACGGCTTTGGGCACCAGTTCCACAACTTCCTCTGAGTGTCTGCAGACCTGATGATACCTGGGCTGATGTGCAATGCAAAACATGGTTCATATCAGGGCAGGGTGAGTGATGCAGTTCAAGGATGTAGTGTATGTTCTGCATGCATGTCGTGCTGCGCCGGAACCCACAACTGATGCTGCTCTTCAAGAGTGCGGTAGGACGGTAGGATCAAAAGATGACAGCGCTGAACATTGAGCACTGCACGGGCTCATTCTGCACAGGAAAAGAAATGTCCACATCATTGGCTTTTACCATGAAACTGCCTCGGCGTGTTGAATTGCGGTTTGGAGTTTTTAGCAGGCTGCGTCCATTCTGAGTCTCGCATCTCTTCGATTGCAGGGAGATCCTTTAATGGCTTAAAAGTTCTCCCGTCCAGGGCCCTTTGGTTGTTAGGGTTGAGAGCCTTTTGGCTTTGGGATGACCGGAGTGAAGGGCATCTATGGAAGCTGGCTTTCTGGAAGTGCGAGGCGTCAACTATTCGTGTTTTTCGGATGAATAGGTCAGAGATCTAGAGGTGTAACACCCTCAAGGTTCGGCGCAATGAACTTTCGGGTTTGGATTTTAATCGTGGATGGCTTCTCATCGCGTTGGGGTATTGGGCGATTGAGGCTTTACTCTTCAGCTGGTAGAATGTAAGCCGTTCACAGCGAAGGCCTACAGTGCATGTAGGTGTGAGGCTCCGCCAAAACATGCCACTCGCAAGGAAGCGTTCAAGAATCGCCAAGAGACCTAGCTTGTGTGAGAAGCACAACACATCGGTTTGCTTACGCTTGTGCACCGCTGGTCATTGCTTCTGGAATACCTGCCTAAGGCGGTATGGACTGGAAGAACGGTGTCAGCGTAATGGTTCCAAGATGCTTGGGCCAGAACTCCTGATACCTGGGCAGCTTGGAAGGACTAGCTTTTCGACCGAGGGCACGTTGCATCAGGTGGCCTGCGGAGCTTTGATTCCACACTTTCCTTGCAAAAGACATGTGGTCAGATGCGAAGATAAACATTTCTCCAGGCGAGGCTCTCTGGCTTCGAGGACCTGATGTGCTTGAAGCGTCTGGATGATGAACCGGCGTCGCCAGCTTGCTTCACTCTCATCCTGTGCAGAACTCGCAATCACAGCTTTCTTTGCGCCATCATGTGTCATACCACAGCTTCATCCTCAGAAACAAGCTTGAAACCAAGCCGCCTTCAAGAGGACCGCTTCACGCTTGAGCTTGACAATCAACTCCACCTTTTGTGACGACATTGCGTCTCTCTGCAGGGTGATCTTTTCAAGTGTGTTTGCATCGTCCAGCCTGGTGCTTGAAGTGCTGGTGTTGGATGCCTTAACTTTCCACAGACGGCAAAACCAGGCCGGGCATGACAAGAGGTACCTCTCTGCTTCATGGCTACTTTTTGCTGGCTTCACGCTAGTTGCCTGCCCGTTGCCTTTATTACTGACTTCTTACGTTCAGAGAAAGCAAGCGGTAAGCGGTGGCTGGCGAGGTGCGGCAGCTTGGTTCTGTTCTCTTCCAGAAAAGTACTGCTACCTGGCATCGCGATGCAAGCGGAAAGCTTTTTTTGCAGAGGTGCAGCTCGGCCCTTTTGTTTGCAAAGGTGCGGCTTGCTCCCTTGTAGTCTTGTAACGCTTCAAATGCTGTAGATTACAGCATCTGCTGGTCTTGAAGGAATCAAGTGCTGTAGTTTGCTGGTTTTGGAACGCTTCAAACGCTATGAATTCCAGAGTCTGCTGGTCTTGGGGAACGTTTCAAATGCTGCAAATTACAGCATGTGCTGGTCTAGGAATGCTTTGAATTTGTGGGGTCGCTTGAAGCTCCCAAGCAATTGGGGGTCTGGAGGTAAGGGGGCCGCACTGGAATACACGGTTTAGGACCTTCTGCCACATAAAACTCTCAGAGTAAATATTTCCAAGGCATTGAAGATGGAATCATTTTTGGTGGATTTCGAAAACTTTCAAAACGCATACTCCCAAGCAATTGAGGGTCTGGAGGCGAGGAGGCAGCCCGGGAGCACACGTTTTGGGGAGCCTTGCACACGTTTTAACATGTTCGGCCCCTTCAAGCTCTCAAAATGCGTGCTTCCATTGTGAGGTGGAAAGGACTTTCGGCGGTTGAAACTCTGAAAATGCGTGGTCCCAAGCAATTGTGGGAGCGTTTGGTGAGGGAGCAGCCCGGGAGTACATGCGCTTTCGGCCTGCTTGAATGTTGCTCTATGTTGCTCTCGTGTCTGCACGCCGTGGTGAAGACTTGTCAGTTCTGGCTTTCTGTTGAAAACTTTACCCCGCTACATCTGCTGGTCCAGGAAAGCTGAATTACGGCATTTGCCGGTCTTGCAGCGCTTCGACAGTGAGACGCTCCGGATACTGTGAACTACAGCTTCGGCTGGCCCTGGAAAGCTTCACATGCTGTAAATTCGTCGTTTGCTGGTTGCAACGCTCTACTCCTTCGTGAGGTTGGTGCTTCCAATTTATGTGATGCTTGAAGGAGGGAATGAGAAAACAAATCATCATAGAATTGGTGTTATATCGTCGTAGATTTTATGAGAATCCATTGTCCCATAAGACTAAGAACCAAGTTTAGGACATGATGGAAAATCAAGTTGTATCCGCACTTGTTAAAACATTCGAAAAGTGTGTTGCCGCCTTCGCCGCTACTTCCAAACTCCACCCCTGAACTCTAAACCACCATGATACCTGTTGAAATACACTCCAAACCCTGAGCCTAAAACTGTGTGATTGTTCTTCTTGTTATTGTTACCATGGACGTGAACTCTAGTATCGCGTTACCCTTGTTGTTAGTACGGTTATGGCTATCATTCTCATTTGAATGATTGCTTCTCGTAAAATTTCATTACTGTTGCTAGAACGGTTGATGGTAGTTATGGAACTGTACCGAAATCCTACACCCTGCGGCTTTTCGCGGAAACTACGCAGTGCCCACATGCTTGTTAGCGCGCCAGAAAATGCCCAGCTCTAAAGAAGTGGGGGTTCGGGGAGGGCGCAGCCCTCCCGCATTTGCAAACAAATGATGATTGGAAGGTCCGTCCTTTCTGGCACACACAGTGCCTACATGCCGCTATTTGAGGCATTTGAGGCAAGCATGTGCGGCTTTAACGAAGCGAGGGGGCGGGGGCGGTGCAGCTTTACAGGTTGGGGGCCAGCGTGCAACGGGATGATCCCTCCTTGTGCACACAGTGTCTACATGCTGCTTGGTGAGGCAAGCACGCACAGATTTAAAGAAGCGGGAGGGTCCTTAGGTTTGCAAACGTATGATGATCTGATGATGGAGACCACCTCACCACGGGACCGAAGACGACCACAAGACCACCAGAATAGAGGACCACCCGATCAGAGGAGCGGAAGACGAGGGGATTGGAAGACCATAGAACAACTGGATTATGATTTTGGAAGAAGAGGAACCAGAGCCACACCTTTGGAAAAAACTGGACGACCTGGACCCTTGTCCTCCACATTTTTACCACCAAGACTCAAACAGAATCAGCGAGCCTCCTCGAGTAGCTTCTGCAGGTTCTCAGAGTTGACAGCCTGCCCAGCTTCCCCGTTGCGGGAAAGAGCTGCGCAAAGCAGACAACCGTGCTCACTTTGAATACTCGCAGGAAAATGTTCGCCATAAGCCGCCTCTACAGTTGGTAGGTAGTTGAAGCTCGTCTGGGGCGTGTCCAGCAGCTGCCTTCAACATACCACCGTGACACGCAGCTGCGCATGCAAGACCACGCAAGGAACCCATGCTATGCTAGGAAGCTGAAGCGTTGCATCTGATGGAGCAGGCAGGAAGAAATGCCCCGGAGATCCGCAGAGTATGGCATGCATCGGAAAGCCGTGTCCTCTGCTGCCGTGGCCGCAGCAGCTGAAATATCGGATCCGAGGTCCCAGGCTGTCAGAAACTTGCAGCTGCAAGAGGACACGGGGAGTCAAAACGTTCTCAGCACCTGCTGGACCCTCGCGACCACATCATTGATCCAGCCAGATCCAGGCCTCGCACGACTTGTTGCAGTCGAAACAAGTCCAACATGGTCCAACGGTGTGACGACGCTTGGGCTTCGTCTTGGGCGGCGGAAGCTTTGGCTTCTCGCCCTCAGGCTCTTCGTCCTTCTCATCCCCTTCTGATCGCAGCAAGCCTCCCAGACCTTTCAAAGGCACAAGCACCACAGTAACGTCCCTTACTCAAACTGAGATGGGCACACGGTCCGCCAGCAGCAGGCTTCCTACCAGGAAATGCACCACTGCGTCAACGTCATTGCGACATAATGTCACTCAAAGCCCCAAGATGCTCCAACATGCCGAAGGTCCTGCAAAGGACGTGAAACATTGCTTGGCAGCGCCGCACGCCCACATGGCAAAGTCTGCATGCACTCTGGTTTGAACAGGGACAGGGTAGCTTCCCAAGGTCTGGCCATGACGTCATTGTTGAGAAATCAATTCAGGCGATGGGCGGTGAATCGCTGCAAATTGCTGTAAACTCCCAGGTGCGTCACGGCACTCACAGCGCTGCTGCTGCACTAGGTCCCCGCATATGCAACAGGTCTGTCAGATCTCCTTGATTGCATAATATCACAACAAGGCAAAGCCTGCTCCTGTTCCTTAACTGCTCGTGTTGAGACTTGTTGCGCACGCGCCGCAGTTTTGCGAGCTGCTGTGTGAGCACCGGACACCTCTCACACGTGACGATGGCCGCCAAGCTCACCTGCAACGTTGTTCAATCAGGAGATCCTCTGCCAATGGTGGTGCAGCAGAGGTCCCCACTTGAAACTTATTGCAACTTTGCCTGGAATCCTCGACCATTCTTCAAGGAAGGTCACTCAAACAAAACCAAAAACAAAAGACCCTACTGCGATAAGCTGTCCGTGGGAGAGTGCTTGAGCTGTGTGTTTGCAAACTCATCCAAAACTGCGGGTTACCTGCTACGGTACCTTGGGCTACGCCGCGCAAGGTCTTTCAGTACAGGTTACATGTTTCAGCGCTTGTGTGGGCCCATGCAATCGCTTGTGATTGTACTTGTGGTTGTGTGCCATTGTGTGTGAATTCCGCTCTGTTCCCTTCCCACACCAGGCACTTGCCACAATAAGGTGCACTTGCTGACTGGTTGCGAGTGCCTGCTGGAACTCGCATCGGTCGCCTGCAGTCAGCTCACCTGAAAGTGTCACACACAGAGAAAAACTTAAAGCTCTGTTGTTGCCAACTAGCGTCAGCCCAGCATGTGCGCAGCTGCGCTGATCCCATTACAGCAGTGTGGATGTGTGCCTTTGCTAGTGCCTTAGCTTTAGAAAGCTGGTTGTCGGTGCTTCCGGGAAGGGCAAACAATTCAGCACACGGGAATCGAAGCAACACTACTTCCAGAAACGAGTCAGGAAACGGGCGGGGACTGCAAGTGCCTGTAGCTTCGACATGAAAGCAGTTGATGCCATTCCAACACAAGCTGGCAGAATTCAGAAGTCGTGTTTAGGAAGTAGCTATCTACCACCTCGCATCGTGTTCTTTACAAGCCTACTTGTCCACAAATCCTGAAGCCTCCGGCATAACTGCAAGTTGACCTGAATCCTGTTGGCTTAAACCTGCATCTGTCAACTCAAGCCCTCCTCTTACCCTGTGAAGACTGGACACTCTTGTGTTGCCCAAAAGCCTTACAATCCGCCGAGGCCGGAGGCCTGGGGCGTTTAGATCCAGGGCCGTTGGAAGAGTCAGTTAACCCACCCCCTACCCCCTCCCAGTGCGCATGATTTTGCGGGGCTGTGATCGGCTCGTTTTTTCCGGGTTTCTAGGGTGCTAACGGAGGGAGGGGGGGGGGGAATGAGGAGGCGTTGCAACCACAACATGCAAACATAACACTCACCATGACAATAAATTTTCTCACCACGGCAAACAATCTACCAAAGTAGCACGACAAAATCAGTTGCGATTCTTTCCTTCAGCTTCTCAAGTGCTCTTCTGCGAACTGCCATATGTACTCCCAATTCCCTCCCCGCTTCTCAGAGCCCCAGATTGGAGCGCGTTTTATTATGACTTTCAAGGGCCCAAAATACCAAAATGTGCACTCCCAGCTGCCTTCCCGCCTCTCAGAGCCCCAGATTGTCCTGCAGCCGCACTCAGAAGTTGTCGGGAACAAGCTAAGTCCTTGTCATTGTGAGAAGAAACGTGTCGTAGTAAGAGAGAACATGCCATATTGGCCTTGGAAAGGGGGGTGCCTGCTCTGTGCTCTCACCCCTCGACAGCCTTTAGCGGTTTATTTACCCTCAAACGCTGGACCAGGATGTCCTTAAGAAGTGAACCATATCCACACGGCAGCAAAACAAACAATGGTTCTGGACTGGTTCTGGTCGCCAAGCGTGGTGGAAAAAGCAGGGAAGAAGACATTCTATGCCGCCCGATGTGGGCGAGTTTGGTTGCTATCTTAGATGATTCTAGAGTTGCGACTCACTTATGCTATACTATCGGATCCGGAGTAAGGCAAAAAGGAGCCTTGCGGCCGAAGCTCGGGAAAGGCAGCCAAGTGCTGGGATGGAGATGTGGACCTTCAGTCTGGCCATCTGATGACAAGCTTCGTGGGAGCTTTTTCCGGGTGAATTGCAAGAAGTTTTATCCATCCTGCTATGGTGATAGGAGTTCAGCTGTTCGAAGTCCTCTTTATTCCTCTTTGATGCCATCCCGGTACAGCAATCTAAGTCCAGAGGCTGAGCATACGCTTGCGCGCTGCTTTTTGAAGTTTGACCAACTATGGAGGGGGCTGTGGGATCTGTCTGCATGCGCAGATATGATGTGGCCGCACTGAGGCTTTGACTTGTGGTGTCTTGTCTCCGTCCGCATCCGCCGCTGGACCTCATTGCCTCTGATGCACGAGCAAGCGTGCTCGGAGATGTGCGCAGCCATTCTTGGTCTGCTACTGCATGCTTGGGCGCTGGCATGTGCCTTGATGTAAACTGCATTGATAAGTGTGCTTGCACTGCTAGAGCACTTCACCTTGAGCTTTTGCAGCACTGTCTTCAATGTTTTCCGGGATTACATTCCTCTACTGAAATCCAATATTCCGGGCACCTTGCCCTGGAAATCATGCCGCTAAAGTAAGTGGCAGTTGGGTTAGCCACTGGTAGGCACATAATCCAGCTCAAGAACATCTACAACATCTACTCTGAGTGAGCTGTTTGATCGGTGGTAGGTGAAACCAAGACTTTCCAATCATCGGCATCAAGGTGAACATCTAGTCACATGCAAGAACCAGTAACGCCAAAAAGCAAGCAAGCACCTCGAGGTCTTCAGGCAGGAAATGCCGACTGAGCTTTGTGGCTTTACACCAGAACGAGAAGCCGTCCCTCGCATTGTCTTCTCCAAGTAGCCTGCGATGCCCATAGATGAAACACCAATCCCCAGCCAACCCATGGGTGGAAGACCATCACCTGCACAGCGCAGGGCATCAACTCCATGGCTCTTGGCTTTGCATGGCACCTTCTAGCACCGAAATCATCACCGACAGCAACTTGCGCGTCGTAGTGACGGCAGCGCAGACGACACCTGGCTATCAAAACGTCGCCGATTTGCTTCATCACAACATCTGACTTGCAGGGCAGGGAGCTGTCAAAGTTTGCGATGGTATAGAAGATGCTGGCCTACAGGACATGCACAGCTTCGCAAACATTCATTGAAGATGATCTGAGCGAAAAAGGCTCGGTGCCCACCTGGCCCAAGGCGCCACAGGCAGAGAATTTGACAACTTCACGGGCGAAGCTTGGATTCGCAAAGCAGAAGGTGGCACCCTGCAAAGCTGCAAAACAGTTGCATGCAATACGATTGCATAAGAGCTCACCAACCAGGCGTGCCTCACGAAGCTCGGAGCGTAGAGCCAACAGGCAAGATGTGACTGCCTCTGCACTAGCAATCCCCCTGCCCCAACCACTACACCTACTTGGGCAGCCAGGTGGCCATGTAGAGGTTGGTCCAGAACATAAGGTCCTTACAACGTGTGAAATTCCATCAGCATAGCTCGAAGGTTGAGCCGGTGATCATCCATCAACTATCCATCGGCTTTACTATCGCCTTGCTTTGGTTGCTTGTCTCAGGTCGCTGCATAAGGGCGAACCTGCAGGACAGAAAAAGCGGAGAGCAGTCATGTCACAAGGAGCCTTGCCTGCTTATCTTCCTTTCGACACGTCACCTGCGCTGAAAGTTGTTACAATTCCAAGTTTGTCCAGTCCTTAAGGCCGAAGTAGCTCCTGCAACCTTCTCTGGACGCCTCCAACCACGCCTAAGATAATTGCATCTAGACTTGCTGAGCACCGGTGTACAAACTGGGCAGGAGATGCTTCCAAGCGACCGTCGCAGAATAAAGCGCCGATGATGAGAAGCAAGCCGGCACGAGTGCTTGCACCAGATTTCTGGCACGGCTGCTTAATGTGAATAATCTCAAAGTGTAGTGCAGTCATTCAGACAACCATTGTGCAGCCCAACATGCCTTGCTTCGTCCTTCTGCCAAAGAGACGATGCCTAAGTCGTTCCCTCTCAACGTGCCGTCTTCGAGCATACTGGATTTGGAGATGGTAGAGACCTACGTAAGAACCTCCAACAGAAGTTGATCCCGCCAGGCGACTTGTTCCCGAGATGATTGCGGCCGCCTGAAGGTATTGGCGAAGCGTGAAATTGGCCTGTCCCAGAAAAAGGGACCCAATCCTTGGCAAGCCACGGCCAGGGTGTGCGCTGTCAATGTCCGATCAAACATCTGCAGCAAGGCTTCATCACTGGAAGCATCTTTGCAGATTTGGCCAATGTGGCGACAGGAAAGGAGAGACCAGCAGCCAAGGAAGCACTTGTACAGTACTTCCTGGAATGCGCAGTTGTGCAGCAAGCATGTATGGCTGGATAGGCTCGCTGTGGCTGGTTCTGCTTAGTGGCGAGAGGACTTGCCCAACCCCTGAGGCAATCAGCAATACCTTCACAGCGATGTCTGAGGCAAGGAACATGCGCATGCGTCCACTGATCAAACAATTTGAAATGCGGGCTACCTGTGGCAAGCCAGGCGTGTGCCCCTGGATTGAGCGTCCAACATAACCTGGCAAGTGGAGCTGCCACAAGCTGAGGTTGGCGGGATGCCTAGTCCAAACCCTACCCACGGAACTTTGTCTGTCGCTCATACATGCCTGAGGCATTGAGCCTGCATTGATGGTCCTATCAGTCCTATCACACTGCCCAACTCTCAGTGGCTCTTGATCTTGGCCTCTCGAGTCCTTAGTTCTGGCAACATGAACAAGCGGTAAGCCGGCACGACGACAATGCACAGGAAGACGGCAAGGTAGATGTCAACATTCGGCCCATCCATTACATGACTAATGGCATGCATGCCCAGGGCAAAGCAGACCTCCCAGCTGATGCCGATGAGCAAGCCGTGCGCCAGAATGATGTGGTTGATGATATGAAGTGTTGACTCCGCACCACCGCCACCTTTCAGTGCATCTGCCACTTTATCAAGGCCGAGCAACATCAAGCATGAAATGGCGGAGACAACAAGCGCTACGATCAGGTGGCCGATCAAATGATGCTCGAGGGTTGGCAGGAACGCGTTCATCATCGCGATACCACAAGAGAGCATGCCCCAGGAAAACATCCTCAGGAGTGAGGCATAGTGAGACCCAACAACAACTTACCACCTGGTTCCATGCTTCCATGCCTGTTCACAAAACAGCTTTGGTGGATGATGTTATCGCGGCCAAGATTCATGATGAATGTCTCGGTGAGGATCAGCAACGCCCGCAAGCGAATGTCATCTTCGTCCATCTCTGCAGTCTCGCCTCCGTGCTCATCCGCAACGTGTTCATGCGCGTCGTGACCGTGACCATGTCCTCCGAACATTTTCTCCTTCAACTTGAATGTTGCGATGCCCAGGAGCATGGAAACGACTGACACGGTGAACAAGACAATCCAGCCGTGGTGCCAGCTGTCAGTTGAGACATCAGCATAGACGTGGAAGTGCGTGTCCGGCATTGCACCAATGGCAAAGAAGCTGATGCTTCGGACGGAAGCGAACGACAATCCTAAGCAAAGAGACTCGTTCTCAGCCTCCTCTGAGATTTCATCCCACAATGCTTCACCACGGCTCACCACTCCATCGTCCATTTCGCTAATTTTCTTTCTCGTAAAGGCTGCTAGGCGGTAAAGGAGAGTGACAAGGATAAGAGCGGCTGGAACCACCAGCAGCGACATAGCTGGGGAGCTGGCAAAGGGCTCAGAATCCTGTAAAGAAGCCAACGTTGCTACAATGGCGAAACCGGCACAATGCGCCACTAAGCCACCCCAACATTTCATTGCAACCTCGCGCTGCTCCCAGAGCTCTTCAAGCTCTTGACGTTCCTCCTCGCTGGAGGCATCCTTAGGCTCCTTAGCCTCCTCGCCAAACGCACCACTCAAAACAGCAGTCACAACCTGGGAGGCCAAGAACCACATGATGGCCAAGCCAAAGCAAAGCCCTGCGTTTCCCCAGCCACCGATGGATATGTGCGAGAACAAGAATCGCTTTGCGACTTGGTTCACCACATCAGAAGCCAGAACAGCAATGAAGATGCAAGCAGACAGAGTAAGAATGTTCCAACTGTAGTATCTGATGTCCAGGTCCGGGTGCTGCACGAGATAGAACATGGCCATGACGAGAGTGACGCCGCCGATCAACATGTAGGATGCTGTCAAGGTTTGGTCATCCGGGGCGTGATGGCCATGGCCTTCATGCGCGTGACCTCCTTCTCCGTGGCCATGTGAATCGTGCTCAGCATGATCGTGGCCATGATGATTGGAGTCTGCGTGACTATGCGATCCATGGGAGGTCTCACTGTGGATGTCCTCATGGCCGTGGCCGTGATCGCCATGAGCTTGCACTTCATGGCCATGCTCGCCATGTTCGTGACCGTGCTCTGGACGTGAGTGAGTCTCATGGGCATGCTCTGCACTTTGGACATGCTCGGTATCACTGTGTCCGTGCTTGCCCTGCGCATGCTCCTTCTCATGAGCTGCTCCATCATCAGCGTGCTCATGAGCGTGGTGCTGCTCTTGCTTCTCGGGTTGGCCATGCTTGTCGGCAGGTGGATCGTTAGCGTGATTGCTATGATCATGTGTAGATGAGGCTCTCTTTGGGGCATCATGACCGGCTGAATCAGAAGACTCAGGCGTGGCCTGAGGAGGGCCAATAATTCGCACGATCACGCCGTCAGGAGGGTCCTCTACACTGTCTACCTTCACCGTTTCTTTTCTTGTCCTGACCGTGATCTTTGCACTGTCTGACAGCACAGGGAGCCATGCCAAGACTAGAAAGACTCTAGCCAGGCTGACTAGGGCCATCGCACTGATGACCCGCTACGTTCGGCACAAAGGTATTTGAACCAATATGCTCATGAAACCAGAGCTTGGACTCTAGTGGAACGCTCATGCGACAGTTGCTGGGCTCTCCATGCGCATAAGGCGGCAACCGACGGACATGTTTGCGACAGCATCCACCAGCTGCAGAAACCACACTGCGGTAAACCTGATCGGCTTCAAAACCACCAGCAGGTCAAGGAAACATGTTCACATTACTTTGCGACGTGCTGGATGCACGCTGAGCTGCCTCTGGCCGTTCGCTGACTTGAACTTGAAGATCCTTTCTTGAATCCTGGCCAGCTGTTGCAGCGACAGTGTCAAGTTTTCAAAACCGTTTTTCAATGATTCAGCCCCATACGGTGGCCTTCGCGCAAGCAGTTTTTCTACCACGCTCGCTCGTACAACACAGACTCAGACATCCCAAAATGAATGCTTTGAGATTGGGAGTGTTTCCGATTTGTTTCAAGCATTGTCTGGAGGATATCAAGCAACTCGCACTCGCGGCGGATACCTGCAACCTGCTATCAGGTTGCGCAACAGCAAGCAAACTGACATTTATACAACAACTGATTTCAACCAGCTGCATCCCCAGTGGATGCAGCTAAGCCATGCTAAGCTATTGTTGGTGACGACGTCATTTTGCATCACTGCAGCAACATAGAATGCAGGTGGCCTCCCATACCAGATGAAGAAAAAATAGATTCCAGCCTGACTCACGGAGCACGTATGAAACAGGATACGTGAGCCGCAACGGCCAGATCGTCGCAGCTGGTTGAAAATCAGGGAATACGCTTGGAAATATGCCCAGCCAAGGCGAGAGCTGCACCCTTCAGCAATTTCAGGCGATCCAAGCTTTGCTTGGTCGCATGGCCGTTTTCTCGTGGTGCTTGGCCTGGCAGGCATGTAGCATCGGGTGGCTGCGTGGCTGCTGCCGTCCAGGTCCCTGACACTACGCTCACTAGTTTCCACCCAGAAGGCAACCTGTATCCCTGTCACACAACATGCAAACATATGCAGCTGCTGCAGCATGAGCACCGCCTGGAATGCCCATGGCTGGGCCGGAAGCTTTCTGCAACGGTCACTTCAAGTCTCTCTGGATCTCACTTTCCTGGGAGAAGCTAAAAACTCGCCGGTGATTGGCTACATTTGCTTGACACAAAGCGTCTCTGATTGCATGCTCGTAGAGCGGGCTCAGAGCCAAGATGATTTTGTTTGACCAGTCTGGCTGGGCTGCCCATTCGCCGCCCCAGGCGCAACTACAAGCGTCAAAAAATTCACGCGGAGTCATGGGAGCGGCATAGCGGATTTCATTCCTTGTCCTCTACGCTAACCATATGAACGTATGTATATATATATATATATACATGTACACTTTCCGTTTGGTGGGGAACAACCAGGTCTCGTTTGGGGGGAAGCTGTCACTTTACCGGAGCTGTGCTTCACCCAAAAACGACAAAGAAGCGAGACGTCCTCAACCTTGATAAGTACCTGTAATAGGGAATAAGGGAATACATGATCATGGTTTTATACAGGGATGATACCTGTAGCATTTTAGATGTACGTAATTCAAGCCTAACAGTCCCTATCAAACAGCATGGGAGGAGAGGTCTGTGACAGTTGAATCTCAGCTATGCTATGCACAGCAGTCTGTCTCATAATTCCTCATATGCGGCCTAGTATGTGCATATACATATATATACATGCATACAAATACTGTGTCACATTAACAGATGATAAGGAGGTTGCATATTGCAGCGCATTCAGGGATGGCATCCCGTTAAATCATCTGGCGGGTACTGGGGTGGAATGTCAGAGCCAGTCCTTTTTAGGCTTGACAGTGCATGGAACTTGATACTGCCGCATTTGCGGAAGATAGCGGAAGACGTCCCTATGCATCAGTCCCAAATTGGAAAATGAAAGCTAAAGATTGAAAATACTGGCCCTCGTCGCTTGCATGCTTCGTCAGCCTGTTCCAGAAGAAATGAATCTCCAACGTCCACGCTACCCTCGCTCACCGCCACAGCCCAAACCGAGAGACACAACAATGGAATATAGCATGTCCACTATTGTCATTGGAGCCTCAGCCCCTGAGTGCCTCAGCTCATCCTGGGTGCTGTCAGAAAGTGTAGTGAGGTGAAGGATCGTGTCCGAAGCGACGTCGAAGACCATAACGAAAGGATACGCGCAGGCGGCTGCCACAAATCCACTGATTATGCACCAATGCTCGGTGTATCTCACAAAGCTCACACTCTTCGGCTCGCGGTAGGCAGGCACCATGGTGACTGCCACATACGTAGTAACAAAACCAAGCCACCATGTTAGAGCTAGGCAGATGACTTGGAACACGAATGTCGCTCCATTGAGCGAGTTTGGTGTGATGGGGTCCAGGCTAGTCACTTGCTGGGACTTGCGTGTGGCCGGCAGCAGCGCCGAGCCACGCAGAGCCACGTCCACGTAAGCGTTCGCAGACAGCGGCTGTAAGAACAAGTTGTACAAGCTGACGAAGCAAGAACAGCAAGAGGTGCAAGCTTCTTTCACCGGATTTGTCCTGCAGCGTAGCATTCATATCCAGGGAAGTCGACATAGGATAGCTGCTGAAGCAAAGGCACTGCATGAAAAACAGTCTCATGAGAAAAGAGATTCTGCTGCAGGCGTTGTACGTCTCGGTACTAATCTCGCTAGTATTCACAAGTGGAGAATGATGCCAGATGCATTGCAAATTCACCGTTTAGTCTACCCAAGTTACAGCCCCTTGAATGGGCCACGGTTGAAATCTTGCTCCGTGACTGACGGACAAAGTAGTATCATCGCCAAATAATAAGGTGATGTCCGTTTACTGCTCATCAATTTCAAGTCTGTAGCACTGTGACTAGGACAGCGGCGCTGCTGCTGTCGCCGCCACCACTGGCACCAGCGCCAGCCCTTTACGGCTCTCTTTACCCACTTGAGAGCTGGCATGGAGAACATCTGAAGGGAGGCCGGCGTATCTAGCCAGGGATGAAGCTCAACGGCTTTGCGATTTCACTTACGAACCTGTCGGGTTCACCTGCCATCGCCAAGGCTTAGGCTTGATTAGGCGTGTAATTTTTTGGCGAAAATCTGAGCGGCACAAGTGAGGCTGGAGCCCCTAAAGTTCCGCCAAAGCCCTTGCTACTGGTCAACGTTAGCGGCAACACAAGGCTACAGACTGATCTGCGACCACACAGTTGGGGGGAAAGTTTTCCAGTACTTCAGTGAATCCGTCCATCTGAACTTAGGCTGAGATTGGGATGTTGGGATCGATGCAATGGACGTGACCCCAGCTCCCGTGCTCCCTGATTTTGACCTGATCTTTGACACGTCCTCATGCGCGTCACCGCCGTTAATGTTCCCAGCAAAAATCGGAACGGTCGTGCAAATCCAATGAGGATGCCAGCCAGAATGATCGTCCCAGCGTGATATCTGCACATGATGCACAGCACCCGCAAGGATTTCGAGATTGTTGGGGCATTTGTGCTTGCTCTTCGGTTGACATACCAGCAAACGGTTAGAAACACGATGCCCATCTCCCATACGGCGGTCATTACGTTCAACACGAAGCACAGGAACAGCACATAGATCACTGCAACGGACACATCAGCCAGATTTCTCGTGCTGCTGCCATAGACCTGGCAGCCAATGTGGCCGGTGCGAAGGTCAACATGTAAAGTCGTCGGCATGAAGGCCAACGCCCAGACGATTGCAATCGCCGCAGCAAGTTGTAGAGCCAGAACAGCAGCGGGCCCAAACTCCAAAATCGGCATCTCCGTGACCTTGGCATGGTATCGGCAGAGTTGTCCAGTTGTACCGTGTAGGTTGGGACATGTTGGGACAAGGCTCCTAACTCCTAATCTTTGCGTAGATTAGAATCTATCACTGGCCTGCTGTGTATCGGGGGATGAATCGCGAGAGAATAGAAGATTTTGTTGCTCTGGATCCTTTGTGTGGGGTTGCTGGGTCTAAGCATGTTCTCCCCAAATCTTCTCGCAATTCCCATTCCAAGTCTGGCTACAGTCTCTACTTTGCCCACCCTCCGGAGTCTTTGGAAACCAACCCAGGCAAGCATGTCCGCTTCGGCATTGCTTGACAAGGACAAGTCTAGCTGCTACTAGCTTGCGTGACTATTGCCCCACGCAACTGAGGCGCTGGCACACTGGCAGGCACAATGAAGACACATGGCAGCTCTGTCTAGATTCTCTTGGCTTTGGCATGCCCAACCCACTATGCAGCAAACTGCTATGGCCGACAATGCCACAGAAAATATCGCGACATTCCCATACTTCAACCATTGGTATGCCAAGCATATCACGGGCAAAAGTACAAGCAAGTAGACGCCAGCCCACGCTAGAGTCCTGGCATGGTCGCGGAGCACGCGGATCCAGGCATGAGAAACGAGAATTGACAGTATTGCGGAAAATGCCAGTGGAGGCCATGAAGACTGCGCAGTTAAAAACATGTCAAGAGGCAAGAGGCCCCTGCTTACAAGCTGATTGCGGAAAGCTTCCGCCTGAGGTGCATTTACGGGCACACACAGAGGTCCAGCCTGTCGTGCCAGATAGGTATAGTTTGTACTCGTAGGCATTGTGCTGGAATTGTCAACAGCATCCTCATCCTCAGCACGTACAGCATGCGCGCAGTAGCTGGCTAAGCCATCGCCAGCGCCACAGTTCCGCACGCAAATAGGGACGGCTTCGGCAAAGTCTGACTTGTTCGCCGTGCACAGAAACCAGGAGTCCTTCCCCTTCTGATCATAGACTCCGCATTGCGTCCCTCGCTTGTTAGTGAGCCTCACAAATGGATGCCGCTCTTCCTTTGTTGCTCCTAAGACTAGACAGGCAGTAAACAACACCAGGCATCCTGCCCACAGCCAAATGCCACCGGAGTCTGTGCAGCGCCGCGTGATTTGTTCGGGGCTCTTTATCTGCTCCGAGCCAGAGTCTGCGTCGCTGACGTCCGTACTTGTGCTGTTAGCCGTATCTGATGCTTCAAGGTCCTCCGTCTCTGTGCCGCCACCACACATGTAGGTCCAGAAACGCATATCTGAGAGTTCAGCCTGTCAAGACCTGCGCTGCAGAACAGCCTTTTCAGATCTGCAGGCGCTGGCCATGGCGCGGACCTTTGCTGAACGCCTCGGGGGGGAGCGTGAAGCTTAGCAGCACAAGCGGCATGACATCAGATTGCTTCATGTCAGTGCAGAATCTTGCAGAACTGCAGGCTTCTGCCACAAAATCGTTCACTTGCTGGAATATCCTACACACAGCAGTCGCCATGAGCGATAGTTGCTAGAAATACACAGTAACAGTACAGCTCGGCAGCATGCATGATCAACACAACGCAGGTCACTGACATCAATTCAAAGACAGCTTCTGACGCAGCGTGCTTTGCCACTAGCAGCTACTGCCATGTACTAGCAAACTGCTGCAAGTCGATACCAGCCAGCTACTGTAACAAGACAAGGACTGATCTCTAGCAGAACAATGCAGAACACATGGCGGCAAAGTAAGAAAAAACCTTCGTTCCTGACTGGTGGCAATTCCGTGACAAAGCTCCTTGAATTCGCAAGATGCAGGACAGGCAAGCAAACAGGCAAAACAGCAATGAGTCGATGCCCTCTTTTTAGCCTAGGTCATTCAACAACCTTGAAGATGTTGACAGCTCCGTGCAGCCATTCGACCTGCATGTCGAGAAGCGGTCTGTAGGCCCCATGGTCACCATGGGTCGTGAAATAAATGGCCTGGGTTCGCAATGTCCGTGTGGACTCCGCATCCAACCGGAAGCCAGCAGCCTGGTTGAATGGGTTTTTCCCCGAAATCATTGCGAAGCTTTCCCGTGGAGGTGATTGTCTATAGGATGGCTTGATGTTTGATTGATGGGATGGTGTGAATGCATTATCTGTAAAGATGGCTCGTTTGTTGATTGAATGGATGATGCATGCAAACTGGATGATGTGACGAGGGCGTTGAACGGTTTTTGTGAGGTTAGCTCGAAACAAAAACTGTGATGCGCTTTACAGCACGGGGGACGGCTGCACACAGTCACCGCCTCGCTCCAAAATTGCGCTCCCGCGTGGAGCATCCTGAGAATTTTGCTTCGAGTCGACAACCATCTCTGTGTAGCCGGGGTGTCCGGACACTCCTGCGTGGTCCTCCGAAGCCAGCCTTCCAACCTTCGCGATTCCCGACAGTGTTTTTTTCTGTCGAGTTGCTTGTCTATGGGATGACTTGAGGTTTCATTGATGGGATGATGCGAATGGTATGATGTCATGAGATTCTGGTGAGGTAGCCGGATGGGATGTGAGGTTGATAGCATAATGTGAGACATGTGAGATTTGTTGTACAGTTTTCTTGAAGTAAGCTCTTAGCAGGTTTCTATACTACGAAAGTAGATTGGCATGGAGTGATAGACGGGCGCATATAAACATGGAGAAGATGAAATGATGTCAGATGTCGCGGTGCTGACTACCTGACTACTCGAAAGGCTTTTGGGACACTCGGTCTCCCTCGTATTCCTCTGACTGGTTCTTCGCTGACGGAGATGTGATCGTTTGTGCAATGCTGAATGTGAAAACTGATCTTCATTGACCAAACAGGCCTCGACGGCTCTACGGGAGCTGTCCCAGTCCCTGGCATTGATGCATGATGTGCTATTGCAAGCCTCCTTTTGAAAGACTTACGAATCCGAACCTCGCATTGACATGATTCCCAGCGTCATGTTGAGACCTGCACAGGAAGTGCAAGTTGAAGAACTGACGCAGCTAATGCCCTGATCGGAACCGAGGGCGCACCAAGACAGCACTAGTCCCTTCGACGCATGTCGTCGTAGATTATCAAGTGCCACAGCCTGCATGGCAAAGGGGCTAATCTCCCATGTGCTACTTGCCTATGCCCCAACACCTCGTGAGAAGCGGGAATATGTTCCAGGACCTCCAATAGCCCAGCCAAGCTGCAAGGATCTTTGAGACTAGTCATGTCAAAGTTGCATGCCTCCAAGCAGATCAGCCAATCAAAGCGCCTGAACTTCAATCGATTGCGGCTGTGAGGATGGCATCTGCACTGGGACGTGCAAGATGATGCAACAAATCCATGAGAAGTTCAGGACCTTCCAAGATCGAAGGGCTCATCGAGCCTTTGGGTTTGCACCTTGTTGTGATTGCCGAAATCACTGCTTCTGGATCTCGATCACTTTATGGGCCGCCGGCCGAACCACTCGTGTAGTACGCAGCTCGGGGTGAGCCATCGTAGGCATTGCAACAATACCTTGTTTACACTTTCTACTGCCGATTGCACAATGCAGGGAATCTTCCAATGACCCTTGCTGAGGCATTGGCTCCCCTGTTTTATTAAAGAAATTGCAATAGTGGCCACCTGAACCCAGGGCGCAAGAAATTTGGCGGTGAAGTTCTTTCCTCTTTAAAAGCATGCCTCCGGCTCCGAAGTCCGCGATCGTTGTATGGCAAACACCTTTCAAGATTCAGGATAAAACTCCGGTAAGCACCGACCGAGAAACGTCCAACTTCTTTACATCTTCCCGCAGCCTGTCTCATCCTGTCCTTCTGCCGGAGTCCAGAGTCGAACCCTCCGAGACTTGTCATTGAAATTTGCCACGTCGCAAAGACCACAAAGCCCTCATTTGACTGAGCTTCCAAGCAAGGATGCAACCAGAGCATAATCCAAATGCCACGAAGCGGTAAGGTTTCGGACCTGGCAGTGCATCCGCCAAATTTGCCACCATGCAGAGCGGATGACTGAGCACCAAACACTTCCGATAACTCAGGACCATGGCAAACAGGCCAGCGTGGCGATGAAGGTCATATCTGAAAATGCCCCGCCTGCATCCTCAAGCCAAGGGCGATCTTCTTAAAAGCTGAGAATATCAGTTCATCCACAAGCAGTAGAGCCGAATTTCGAAGGGGTAGCAAAAAAAAATCAAACCGAGCTTGTTCCTCTGAAGTCTGCACATCACACCATTGCCTGCTGCGGTGTGGAACATCCGAAGACTTTAAGTTATGCAATCTCACTGAAAGATGCTACAAGAAAACGAAATCATAAGCTGCGAGGGCTGCAACATGTGCCTGACAGCGTAAGGGCAAGTCCGTGGGGCTCCGCGGTTTGGAAGCTATAGAGGGGCTTTGAAACAAACAACCATTCGGTCCAATCGGCTTTTGTACACTTAACTCTTGGCAAGTCTCTGTTTAATTATGAATACGATTTTGAGAAAATTGAAGCAATTCATGCCGGACTGATCTCTTTCTCCTAGGTTGGTGCAGAGCGCGACACCCGCATACTGGCAAGGCCCTTCATCCCACCTGCCACCTTCATGATGCTGACAAGGACCAGGTGAAGGATTCCGAACAGAGGAAGACAGGAGCCAACAGGAAGATAAAGAGATGAATTAAAGGCAGAAGGAGAAAGCCGAAAGAGACGAATAGAAAGCCACCTCCAAACTGGGAGAAGGGGGGGAATTGGGAGGCAGAAGGGAGAGGGGAATCTTGTCTTGCAACAGAACGTCTGTCCTCCGTTTGAGATGGGCCTGCTGGCGGCAACCTCACGAATTGCAGAAGTGCTGTGAAGGCTCAGAAGTGAAGCCATGTCAAGTGGCTGGCGAGACAATTCGCGTGGCTCCGTCGCCCTTCTCCGCCAACTGGTCCAAAATGATTCTCACCTGCGCTTTCTCGGTTTTGGCAGTGAGCACGGAAGGTGTGTGTCACTCCTCCGAGAAGGCATCTGCAAATTTCGCTGCGCAGTGAAGAACTTCTACCCTGCAGCTGATTTCATCGCAGTGCTTGCACATAAGTGTAAAGAGCAAATTCAGAGCTTGCGGACGTCTCTAAGCTTTGAGCGGCGGCAGCATGTGACGCAGAACGTCAGTGGACACCTGCTGCGTTACCTATTTGCAGCTAAGTTCGTCACAAAGCTTTTGATCTTGCGGCGTGCTTACATTGTAAATAGCTTCATGCTTCTTGCCTATTGAGGAAGGTTCAATGAACTTCTTGCCACTTGAAACAGCATGAAGCTCACCAAGCGATGACACCATCTTGTCCCAGCATCTGCATATGTGCCAAAAAGATGAGCCCTACATAATAGGATCCCGGGTAGAGGAGCACCGGAAACGGCAACCAGAATCTTCGGCACACCCCCATTTGGCTCCTCATACAACGCGTAGCGAGAGTGGAAGATACCTGCCAACTGGATCTTGTGAACCTGCAGGCTGCAACGTCTGCAGGGAGGGTACAGCAGAAGCGAACTTCCAATTGCGAAGCCTCCTGAGACAGCTTGACAAGCCAGAGCATCGATGCACCTTGACTGATCGCAGCTTAGGTATGATTGCTGTCCCTCCCTCACGCTCTCTGTGGCGGACCTATTGCGTCGCGCAAAGCAGGGTAAAGGCACCTCCCACTCACCGAGTGGTCCAAGATTGAATATGCTCGACCATGTTAGTTCTCAATTTGCATGGCAGGGCTTATTCTACTTTAGTTTTGCCAGAGATCATGGTCCCAGCCCAAACACGTCGGGTCATGTTTTTAACGCGCAACATGCGTCAAAACCGGAATCCGGAAATTACGTCGACGCGTGGACATAGGGCACGTCATCCTTACAGGCCCCTGCGCGCAGCCCTTTTATCACTATCTTCGATCCTCATTTGATGAGGACTCCTTATTTTACCGATTTTCTGTGCACGCCTGGGTTTAGGCACGTGTCAAGCCCTGCAAAAAACCGGCTACAAAAAACCAGTCTATCGAGGCATTTCTCAAGATGCTACAGTCATGCCGCCCTTCACCACGGTAGAAGAGGCAGCGTTTTAGAACAGCATTGAAAACAAAACATGAAACACGTTGAACGAATCAAGCGGCCTCTCGCCATGAACCATCACGACTGCCTGAATGAACTCCATGAAGTGATTGCAAATCCTGCGCTACAGATTCGCAAGACCTGAATTTGAGACTCAGAGACTTGCCTGTGCATGTCCATGACAGCATGCAGGAGGCTGTAGTAGTTGGAGGATCTGAACCATTGATGCGATGTCTGACCTGCACTGCTGTACATGCATGAATCTCTTGACTGCCAATCGCTTGGAATTTCAACTTTTTATCAACTCCTTTCCTCACCTGGCTCCGCAAGCGGATCGTGAATACCACCACCACCCCTAAGCGTCAGAATTTCAAAGCAATGCACCCCCTTGAGAAAAAATAGAGCACACAGCTCGTATGTGGGCGGGAACGAGACGTGCCCGCTCTCGTGCTGGCATCATGGAGCTTCCTATCAAGGTTGCGGACTTTTTCTGTGTACAGCGAGGCTGGAAATGTCAGGGCAGCGTGCACAATGAGATCTCAGAGTTTTGATGTGAGCAGAGACTTACCTCCTGGTCCTGGTGTCGGATGGTGTCGGCCCTTGCCTCTGTTTTCCGTTTTGCTGGTGCAGTGGAGAATGCAGTTCTCCGGTGTGGTCCAAGGTCTGCATGAGAATCTGGAAGGTGGGTGAAAACATGTGTTGCTCTGGCATCGGGACCTTGACAGCTCCCGCTGCCAAACCGCATGCCAGCTCCTTGGGGTGGGGGGGCGGATTTAACAAAATGGTGAACATGACGCCTCCTTTCATACCCCTCCACACCTGCCGCACGCCTACCCATGAGGTGAATCAGGGCACGCGCGTCTTTTTTAACGGGCTTGCTCATTGCACGCTTTGCTTATTCGCATGCGGCTGACAACAAAAGATCGAAGCAAGAAAGCTGCGCTTTTTGCGAATGAACAGTATTGCAAAGTTTGTTCTCCTTGCTTCAACGTAGCTTTTCAAAAAGTGAGTCCATAACTGTCTTGAGGCTCACTCATTTTTTCCTGTCAAGCTTTTGGCGTGCTATACGCTCAATCAGACGTTTTCATCTTGCCCATAGCTTGCTCTCCAGAAGATCACACAAGCTCCGCCTTGCCTTGAAACCCATTGGCAATGAGGATATCCTGCACAACTTGCCACGAGCTTGACTCTGCTTCAGCTTTCGCACAAATTCGTCTCACCTTCCACACATTGAAGTTCTCCCGTGTGTGCTTGAATGACTCATGCAGCTTCTGCGCAACCTGAGCACATTTTTCATTCAGATTCTCACAGCACCAGACGAAGACCAAAAGCGCCGACATGCTGAAGTCCAAGCCCAATCCAGCACGACCAGAACCTTCCTGCAGACAGCCGTCTTCCGAAGCACATGGAATGCTGCAAAACACGCAGGCAGTACAAGCACGGGAGTTGCTGATCAGCCAGCATCGAGAAGGACTCCGCAGACCTTCATTTGCAGGAAGATTCAATTCTTCACTCCTTCTTATGCAGGTTTGCACAGATGCTGACGCTTGTTTTGCGTATCGAAGCACGTCCAAATGAGTCGCTGATGCGGTTTATTCAGTCCTCGAACTTGCAGTGTTCATCGAAGTGCTCTGCTTTCAAACTTGAAGAGTAATTCTGAATCTCGACTGGCTGTTGCCAACACTTGTGCCGGCAAGTTGTTCCACTGCCGCAAGGACCCTCAGGAAAATTCGTGCCGAACTCAACTCATTGTTTGCATGTTTTGTATATTTCCGATAGCTCCCACGGTCTTTCTGTCCTTGCCTGTGCAAGGATTCACCAGATCTTCTGTGCAAGGTGCAAGGTTCGGATGCAGGCGGAGCGAAAGGTTTGCTGGAGTTGTCAACAAACATCGTTCTTGTTTTGAAAGCTCAACGGATCAAACATGAGCGTGTGCGCAGAAATATCATGTGAATCAGCAGCTGCTTGTGCCTGTGCTGATTCTGGAGACTCAAGAAGCCATGAAGGCACTCAGCGTATGGCAGCCAGTCTGAAGCCAGTGGTGATGCAGCATGCCGGAAGAGATCCTACATCTTCAGGATAGGGCTGAGAAAAGCTATATTTGGCTGTCCTCCAAGTCAGGCGGTCGCCGAGCATTGACATCTGCAAGGCCAGCTGCAAGTTGAAGCCAAAGCAACACTCCTGCCACGAGACGGGCCGCGACAAAGCTTAAAACGGATCTTCATCACCATGCCAACGCCAGCCTATGGAAACATGGCCACCCATGTCCAGGCTCCTCTTGCTCAGTGCATCCAACGCATGTCTGCACCAACGGAATGACGAATCGCATGGTATTTTGCAGATCTGAGTTCGCTGACTTCCGGCATGGTCCAAGCTCACACCGGCTTACTCTAACACGTTTCACACAGTAAGCTTCCAGGCTAGGTTTCTAGCTTTCATGTTAGTTGTGTTTTTGCCGTTTCGTGAATCTGTCGCTGCGCCGAGTTCAGCAACTACAATACACAACTAAGTCGACCTTAAATTGAAAGAGCATCTCAGCTGGGCAGAACTTGGACGGCGAGCCTGTAAAGACCGATAATCTGAGACAGATTCTGTGAGGCAGCTTTCAGGCCACTGGCAGCTTGCGGTGCAGGACAGTCATGAGCAGCACCTGTTTCTCACACGCACGTGCAATTCCAGCAGCTTTGCCAGCCTGGAGATGGTCCTTACATGGTCATTGATGCTGCTGGATTGAGGTCCTCTGGCTCCTCCTCATCTGACATGTCGGACAAGCCTGGGCAGTCATAGTTTGGAGGAGTGGAGTTCCTCCTCTTGTGTTCCTCCTCTCTCCTTGCCATTTCCACCATGCGGCGTGTGTCGCGCCAATCGTCAAAGTCAACACAGAGTTTCACTTTAGGAAACAATCGCTGAAATTGGCAGAAACATGCCATGCAGGAGATACAAGGCGTGTGTGACGCATACAGCCGAACAGTACCGGTGACTTCTGCGCACTCAGCCTCAAATTCAGCATCAGTCTTCGCACCTGACGCCTCTTGCACACGAGCAATGACCTTGATTAGTGCTTGCCGCTCTGCATGATTTGAGCGATCATGCTGCGCGAAGACTGGAAGAACGTAGGATCCAGGTGAGCGTAGCTTTGGCCGTTTGGGATCCCTCCTTGGAGGATCACGCCGCTCACGCTCCTGCCGCGAGCCTTCGGCTCTCTGCTGAGTCTTGGCTGGCAATGCCTGTGTTGCCTTGGCAACTGGAATGTCTCCAAGTCCCGCCGAATCTTGATGTTGAGCCCGAAATTTAGGATCCGGCAAGTTCAACGAGCTCTCCGCCTTGGCAGAAGGTCGTACAGTCTCCCGCGCAGCCTCCCGTACAGTCTCCCGCGCGGCAGGCTTTGCAGACTGCTCAGAAGTCTGTGGGGTGGATTGCGCCGAAGAAGCTGAGGGTGTTGCGGGTTCTGACTGGTGCGCCTCGCGCAGTCGTTTCTGTCGCTCCTCCTCCAAACGCCGCTCTTCCTGGCGCCGCTTGTCTTGCTCCCGCAGCTCTCGCAGCTGCTGCTTCCGCTGCCAGACGTTATCTGGGGATGGCATGGATCGGCTGCTCGGCTCGGGGGGTGGAGCGCGGTCCAGGCCTCGTGACTGCGCCTCCAAATCCATTTTCAAGCGGAAGTCCGGCTCGAAGCTTCTTTGCTTCATCGCGTCCATGATTTCAAAGCCATGTTTCCACTGCTTGCCCTGGCGGCATGCTGAGAGAGCGTAGTTGTGGCCAACAGAGCTTGCAAAGAGACCCTGCTGGCTGATCTCTAAGAAGAGCGACAGGGATCGCTGCCATTCGTGAGCTTCTTCGCACGCGGCCGCCACATGCTCGAAGCTTTGAGCATCAGCCTGAATACCAGCAGCGGGCATGAGGCTCCGCAGTATATAGAGCGAGTGCTGCCACTCCTTCGGTTTGCATGCACCTCGCTTCAGGGCACAGTACCTGCAAGACAAATTGGACTTAAACAAAGCTGGGGCAGGCCTGCGCAGTGGTTGTAGCCTGGCTGGGCACATTTGGACCCGTCATTGACTGTGCAGTCAAAGGCAGTCAAGCTGCTTTGTAGATCAGGACTTACAGCTTTCTCTCTCATCTCATCCAGCATGGCCAGGGCTCGCTCTACCTGAACCCCACTGAAACACCATCAACCTGGAAGTTCCGAGCAGCGCAGCCTGCTTATCCTTTGCCATGGCGCTGAGAACCCAGTTGTACTTCACGATGTCGAGCCTGTAAACTCAGGTGTAATCTCTCGGGCTTGCAGATGGGCATCCTTTGAACTTTGAGTCACGTGCTCCAGGCCCAAATCTTTCATCTCCCTGTCGTACTCTGGGACTGCATCTGTGAGTGCTTCAACTTGCTTTGCTTTTTTCCGGACCTCATCAGGCGAAGTGCTCGACGGAACTGGCCATCCAGTGCCAAGGCCTGGCTGAGTGGCTGAGGCGGCCAATGTTCAATGCTTCAGAAAAGGTGGCGGAATGTGCCTTGAGGATGACGAGGAACTCCTGCTCACTCCTTGGGCATACGGGCATCGCGCTTTCAAAGCTCATGTGGGTTAACCGTCGAGGCTCTGCAGGTTTGGCACCGCTGTGTCCACGATTCGTAGCAGCTCTCGTCCGCGCGTATTCCGCAGGGTCTGCGTAAGTGAAGGATAATACCTGCCAGCACTGCAACTGCAAGGACGGGATACAAATGCAAAAGCAGTGAAGGCATTCTTTGGGGAGCTTGCCTAGGTCCAGTGACTTTGCCGTCCTCTCGAACATCCGAGAATCCTGTCACTGGAACATTAAGGCAGGTAGCCACCTGATTCCAGAAACCAAACTAAGAAGGAACACTGATTTTCAGTCTGATGTGAGTCTGCAAAAGTGGCGCCTCTGCATTGAGCTGCCTTCGGCCTTAGGCCAGCAGGGGCAAGGCTGTTGCACATCTACATAGCCTCACTTCCTCGACTCGAATGGTACCTTTGATTCCAATCTGTCTGAGTACGTCCATCGGGCCGGGATATGTTCACTTGCTAACTACTGTTTCAAGCCAGAGGACCTCCATGAAGAAAACGCACGGGCAAGACCTTTCCTGTGGCAGTGAAAGATGCGAACTGCAAGTCAGGCATTTCCATCCTGCCTTCCAACCCGCTGCACACAGGCCATCGCTTCTCCAAGATGCTACATGTCACGTGCTGAACAGTAGCTTGTGTGGGCGATGTGGGGTGCAGGGAGCTGACCGCATCCCTCTACGGGATCCTTGTGCACTTGACACTTCACGGCGCAGAGCGTTGCAAACCTGCGGCTACTGGGAAGGTATCGAACTGCTCCATGGCCCGGGGCTACGTTTGAACAACAGCTGCAGCATGCTGCAGCAGGTTGGAGCATCAAAAATGTGATGCCATCGTGATGCCTTATTACCAACTTGCTTGCACTCCAGCAAGTTTGCTCACGGGTATACTTAAGGCTAAGACTTAGGCAGCTACCGCCATGTCCGACGCAAGAGCAACTTCAAAGCATCTGTAGGTTCGCTGCTTCTCTCATCTGGGTATCTTGCACTTGCTTGCAAAATGGCCTGCAGATGTCCTGCTCCTGATGCATGACCGGACTGCAAAGCACTGCGGCGGCCGACAGACACCCTCGGCCATGTTATTTGGGGCCCCTCGGACCCGCACAGGCCCAAAAACAATCCGCCCAGTCTACCACCTCTGTGAGCAACTGAATGGAAATCTTTGTCTTGGGAAGGTCAGGCTGAAGAACCCTCATTTCGGGTGCCAAAACGGGCCAACAAATAGGTTTTAACCCACCGCACGCCCGCCTGAGAGGAAGCCTTCATCCTAAAAAGCCAGGTGTAAGGAAAAACCCTGCAGAGCGGGGAAAAACAGCCGGTGAAACATCATTTCGGCGGAAAGCATGTTTGGTTGGCAACTTCACCTGTCTGCATCGTTCTGCCCATGTCGGACTTCTCACATGGCAACCTGGAATTGTCATGACTGCTTGTTGCATGGAATGCGTCACGTCGTCGGCCGGCTAAATCACATGATTCCTGCATCAAAGCATCTGCAGAGCACTTTTTCGGAAACCTTCGCAGGTCCTCTGCTCGACTCGGCTGAAGGTGCTTTCTCACTTTAAGGCACGACTTTGCCGCCTCCAGCTAGCCAAGCCTTGTGAAGGTGGAATTCTACACAAATAGCATCATCAAACGCTCCGTCTCGTGCTTCCCTTAACACAGCTTGGGGCTGCTTGACATCTACACATGTTGGCAGAGAGGGCGAAGGACGTCCGAACGATGACGCTGTACAAGAATCGATTTAGTGCTCAAACATTGCAGTGTACCAGGAACGCTCCTGTGAGGCAAGGCGATTCCGCTAGTCTGCGCAGGGGTGCGGCTTTCCAAGCACAGTCTTAAAAAGCAGAGACAGATTCAAATGGTTTAATGAATAACGCCAAAGCCAGAACCTGCTTTTGTCTGAACAAACAGTCTCAAAGTCAATTCTAAAACGAGATCTTTGCGAGAAAGCCGAACATGCCCATATGGCAAGTTGACTGCACACTACGTCACTACGTGCTTCAGCTCCAGCTCACCTCAGTCGTCGTAGAAGTGCTGGTTCGGCCCGCGCTTCCAGATCTGTACCTGGTTCCACAAATCATTGCTGCCGTCCTTGACATCAACATAGTAATGAGGATGATTATGCCACTGCAGCCGGTAGTCATGATCTGATTTGTGGATGGACAATTTCTGATCATCGTTCCAGTCCTCACACTTCCAGAGCTGCAGCACCTGTCCGTTATGGAAGCTGTGGTCTTTCACGTCAAGGCACAGACTCCGGTCTGCTTGGATAGGCAACTTTCCAGGGCCTCCATAACCATCAAAATACCAGTTGTTGTGATTGCCTTGTTCTTCACAAGGGCGGAGCTGCACGATACCCCCGTTGCGGACGTTGTGCGGGTCAACGCCTACGCACTTACCTTTGAAGGCCAATTTAGAATCGGCCTGGACCTGACTGTTGAACATGCCACAGCCACCAGAGCTGATGCAAGGGTACTGAATCTTGCTTATCACCCCAGTCATGCCATGGAAAGAAATATGGCCATGCCGTAAGAATCCAGCCATTGCACCCAGGCCCATGACAAGTCCCACGACCACCAGAGGAAACTTCCAACGAGCAAGTACATCTTCGGTCTGCTCTGGTACTGTGTTCGTCCAGGAGTCGAGAGACATTTCGGCGCCCCCGGTGCCCACCTCTGAAAGAAATGTCACATTCTCAAGATCGTCTCCCGCCATGACAGAGCAGGGGCACCACTACAAACACTGACCTTTGAGCCGAAACCTGTTGTGTCAAGCAATGCCACAGCTGCTGTATGCTGCTGCTTATCGGCAAAGGCGTGGAAACAAATGCCATCTCCACTGAGCATCCCGACGGGAAAACATGAAAACCGGTAACGAAGTGCAGGATACCAGCACACCCGAAACGGGAAAAGGACGCAGACTTAATTTAGGATGTGTTTTTGTTTTGGTTTTTGGGAGGTCGTGGGCGAAATCAAAATGTGAGGACGATCCGCACGAGAGCTCAATGTTGAGCCGAGATTTGAGAGCACTTTGCGCAGCAGCTCAAAATGTGGGAAAGCTCCACGCGAGAGCTCAATTTTGATCCGAAATTTGAGGACGCTCTGCGCAGGAGCTCAATTTGGCATCAAAAGTGCGAGAAAAAACTCCAGGCGAGAGCTCGACCTGTTAGGATGTTCCTGCAAGAGCTCTATTAAAGGACCGGAGAACCCCACATGTGTAGTTTAACCTGAATCTACGTGAGATAATACTAGGATGCCGTCGCCCGCCGAAATAAAGAAGAACAAGAAAGACGATAACTGGGGAAACGATCTCCTGAAAAATCTTAGGGGGGCACCCTTTGCGATTTGAGATTTGGGGACCTGACTTTCTGAAAAATCTTAGGGGGATAAGCCTTGCAATTTGAGGTTTGGGGACTTGATTCTCTGAAGAATCTAGAGGGACACCCCTTGAGGTTTGAGATTTGGGGAGATGATTTTCTGAAAAAATGTTAGGGGACACCCCTTGCTCCCGAGTTGAAGAGCTTAAAGATGCCGGCCCCTGGAGGGGCCCAGGATAAAGAGCTTTAAGAAGCCGGCCCCTGCAGGGGCTCGAGTTGAAGAGCTTCAAGATGCCGGCCCTTGGGGGATCGAACCGTCCCTTGTCTGTCTCCATACTAGGATAAGCTGGCGCTTCGACAACACCAGCCAGGCAGATCACACCAGATTTGGTCACTGACGGCCACAGTTGCTGGATTGGGGTGGATTTTGGGGTGTTTGCGACCTCCCGTGTGGGGCCCATTATAAATTCTAGTAGAAAAAAGTAGAGATATACAAAGGCCCCCATATAGGAGGCCCGAAACCGTTTGTTTTGTGTGTGTATGTATGTATGTATGTATGTATGTATGTATGTATCTCAAATTATATTCATTCATATGTAATGGAAGATCAACTGAATTTTCAAGATGCTCCGCACGGGAGCGCAATTGTAATCAAAATGTTCAGAACGCTCCGCACGGGAGCGCGATTTTTGCTGAAAAATCAACGAAATTTTGAGGATGCTCCGCACGAGAGTGCAATTTTCATCAAAATTATCAGGACGCTCCGCACGGGAACACGAAAAAACGATGAAATATTGAGGATGCTCCGCACGGGAGCGCGATTTTTTCAGAATTTCAGGACGCTTCGCACGGGAGCGCCATTTTCTCAAAATTTCAGGATGATCCTCACGGGAGCCCGCTCGGGAGCGCGATTTTTTCTGGATGCTCCGCACGGGAGCGCGATTTTGTCAAAATTTCAGGACGCTTCGCACGGGAGCGCGATTTTCTCAAAAATTTCAGGATGATCCTCACGGGAGCCCGCTCGGGAGCGCGATTTTTTCAGGATGCTCCGCACGGGAGCGCGATTTTTTCAAAATTTTCACGATGCTCCGCACGGGAGCGCGATTTTCAACGACGGAGTCGCGAAACCTGTACCGAAGCTATACCGAAGTACTCCGCTCAAGACCGCCCTTTGAACGAAGAAAACCACCTGGAGCGAAGTACACCGGTACTCGTTCAGTATAGCTCCAGTATAGACTTAATAGACTTCCTCGACATCACGTTCATAAATGATCAAAATTTTCAGAATGCTCCGCACGGGAGCGTGATTTTCATTGAATTTGATGAGGATGCTCAGCACGGGAGCGCGA